CATTGGTATAATTTCTTTTCTCCGTGCCGGACTGACCCCTATATCCGCACAGTTTTGCGCCACATATATATCCGTACGTTCCCCGATGTGTACACGTGATTTCTGGTGATAATCATACGATTTTTATGCGCTAGACACGAAAGTCGGCCGCAGAAAACAACATATACTTATGATGTTCTTTTTCAAAATGGACTACCGTTTTCCTAATCTTCATCAACAGAGTAGGTTACTTGGTGTTGTGCAAATTACTGTATGCGTGAGGCAGTTTCATGGCGTGTTTGCCATTCAACGGCAAAACAGCTGCCAACGTAATTTATGACAGAATTTGTGATAAAAGCACTGTTCGTAGAATTATGAGTCGCGACTGAATTATTTGTTTGGATTTTAATTTTGCTGACGACCGGAAATGAAGAAAAAGGATACGCGGAAAGAACGCATACCCAATACAAATATATTTGGAGAATACCTAGTGCATTTTCCGGTATAAAGCGACCTAACATAAGTTATTCCGGGCGGTTGCCTGTAAGAGAACATGACGGGATTTTGAGTCGCCGCTATTCTATTCATTAAATCGCCCAGCTTCATTCCTAAACAACTGCCACTACAGGGACACGGTATAGTGAAAATTATTTTGTCCTGTTCCAGTAGTAACAAAGCTCCGTACTTGTGCTAATTTCAAGTCTGTGAACAAAAAACTGGAAGCAGAATCATTCCGCAAGATGGGTGTATTGTACCGTAAAAAAATGAAGAACAATTACTAAGTAGCTCATTGCAACCAGGCTTTTTTATTTTTTACTTCAGTAAAACGTTGGCTTGCTTGTTTTAAGCATTGTGTTACCCTGTCAGCGTGCAACGGTCCGCGAATTCCCTGGATAAACTTTCAAACAAGGACATTATTCTTGCGGGGACAATGTGACACCACTGTTTGTGACATAATCACCGTGGTTTCCAAGAGAAAACCTAGTAAAGCCAACTAGGGGTTCGATCCAAGAAGATCCGGTATTATTTTCTGTGTAACTCTAGGACGCTTGTTTGCTCCACAATTACTTCAAAAGTTAATAATTCAGTTGAAGTTGACACTATTTTCTGACCAGGACGTTAGCTGTTGTGATCTGAGTCGTTAGACAACAACGTCCCTGTGCATAGAAGTTAAGTTGTCAGCCGCTCAGTTCAACCCCAAACACCTCTGGGACATCACCATGCAATCTGGAGGCTTTTAGGGTCGCTAAACAAAGAGGCTACAACATCGTCCGGGGATGACAAGGCCACTTACCTGAGAAAAACGCACAGGTGTGTTTAATAAATCATCTTGTCACCGTAAACCGACCATCTGTTGAGTGGCGACCAAGATACAAGTGAGTTGCTTCAGCTTCATTGTAGTCTGAGCTTGAAAATTACATAGAGTGACATAGCTGCAGAAAAGCTGATATCGAGAAGACATTGTTGATCACGTTGCATTGTGGACTGGTAACTACACTGTCAGACACTTTACCGGGTATGTTCCGTCTAGATGCTGTTCTGATCAGCTAAACAGAGAAAATTAAGTGGTGCCAAGACTCCAAGCTAATTTCGACAACTTTTGAAACGGACTGTGAATACCAGCATACGCATAAAATATGAAATCCAGATTTTCACATGTGACTATTTTTCAACTAACCAACTTTGCTTTGTCAAAAAACTTACGGCAGACAGTGTTTTTTGTTTCCTGGACAACTTAGGTAGTTAGAAAGAAGATAGAAAAGTGAATGCCGTGGAACGGTAAACTGATTACTCAAGAAAGTAGAAGATCTAGATTTCACACAGATGAACATTTATACCTCTCGTGGCATCCACTATTGGATGTCTATTTTAGAGAATTGTATTACAAACTGGTTGAAATGAAAGGAACCTAGTTTGAACTGAGGACGAAAGTAGCATACCTATTTGGCGCAAAGCATTGCAGTTGTCACCTGAAACGAATAAACCTGTCAGTACATACGACTAGGAACCGTTCGAAAAAGAAAAGGTTTGACTGGATTCCCACAGGTAGTTCAGAGTATCAACGGACGTGGTATTCCATGAGTAATTAAGTTGGGTGAAAGGTGCCGAAAAACAGAAATTTCAAAGTTAATAAGGATGAAAATAATAAACTGGCAAATATAAAGGCATCTTGCATCTTACACTTAAGGACAACAAAATGGTTCGATAACAGAGTAACGGTGATACTACTGATTGGGGGCATGCGAGTAGTATGTTTTCTCGTAAATCCGCTTTGCGTCTGTTGAAAAGTAAGATTTATTATGGAGATGGTGGAGTCGCTTTGTAGTATTTGTTTGGATTTGAGGAACAGTCAATCCAGGAAAGTTCAGGAAAGTGCGTTCAAAGAGAATACGGATATTCAGTTTTTTTAACAAGATGCATATGAGAGTTTCGCTTCCCTGTCCAATAGTCTGTAATCGTATAGTTGACATTTTCTAATAACCAACTCCGCAAAAATGGCCTACTCCCTTTCATCAGTAGACGGCTAGCCATTTGGTGCAGTTCAGATTTTATCCGCATTGGGAGGAATTTGCAAAATGGCTGCAAGAGCTCTTTGCGCCACCAATAACCCTCTAAGCATCGTTCATTAATTAATAATGAACCATGGATGTCGTCATTAGATTCAGAATTCCAGTTGAAAAAATGTGACGCTTTTCAAGCTCTCTTTTCGATCTGTGTAAGTCGAGAGTTAATTACACTGAAGCTGATCTACACGAGAAATCGCATTCAAGATAGTACGGATTCTAGGACGCGTGAAAACAGCCCATGTATGGTCAGGAGCTAACAACTTGACAAAGGTACGCATAACTCGCTAAGGAAAATTTTTTGATTCAATTTTTCGAGGTTGCTGAAGCAAACCACAAGCGATTAAGCAATGGCTAGAGTTTTTCAACTGCTGTTACGCAACAAGGTCATTCACCAGAAGGTCGTTAATAAGGGGGTCTTTGAAAAACTCCCAAAGTCTTGAGCAACCGCCAGTATACTATTCTCACCTGACCAGATAACTGAAATGGGATAAGGAATCTGCGGAACAATAGGTATAGATACTGAAAAAAACCAAAGAGGACTGACGAAGGTAAAACTAGCCACAATTGGGACATCCCGATGTTTGTGCAACTGAGGCTGTATTTTTTGGCGACAGTGAGGTTTGTTTTTCTGAATACAGGACTCCACTAACGGTCCATTATTGAACAACCAAATAAAGTGGATATCAGAGCAAAGTATATTCTCACCAAGGTCCACCTCACAAAAGTGAATTGTTATCTTTATAGTTAGACAAAAGGGAAGTAAATAAGCGAATGTTCGAAAAAGAACTAATTCTGCACATACTTTGGATTGACAGTTAAAGTACAACGGAAGGGTGTACCGTTATTGTTGTTAGTGTCGCCTGCGGTTTTCCAACACTTCTCCAAAATCCTTCTAAACAGTCCAGCCAATTGCCATTCTCTCGGATTTTAGAAGGAACGCCTTTTTATAGTCGATACATAGAATATATTTTTTTCCTATTGTAGACATTTCGTCACAACCACATGAATTTTCATCGTATAGCGATGTGCAAAATCTAGAAGAGAAGTCCATACTTTTAAAGGAAACGAAACAGAAACAGGTTCCTGACAGATATCTGTTGCGGGTGTTCAGAGTATGGAGAAACAGTCTAAAAATGACAATTTATCAAAATTTGCTCCACTAAAACGATCTCGACAGCTGTCTGACCAACACAGAAAGGGCACTCTAATCTGAAGATGAACTGTGAGCTGAGATTCTTCCAAGGAGCCACCGACCCCTGGTCACACTAGATGATCACAGAATGGATTTTGAAATGTACGAGATCTCTCACAAACTGAGATTTCTACCACATCTGGTATAAAATGTTTGGAAGTATTCCCCCCTGAACTGATGCATTTACGGATTCCTACCAGCAGTAGTTGCTGGAAGTGCACAGCTTGATAACTAGTAAAATGATCGTGCGGGAAGCATTTGGGAAGTTGGAGAAATTGCGAGGCTTAATAGAAAAGAATGATCTGCACCTTATCGGTCTATGATATCCTATAAAATACACACAAACATCTGCATGCGTAGAGGAGTTGAAACTCTTTTCTATACATGACATGTTTAACTTATTTTGCACCGGCCACCCCTCAGAAAAGCCCGACTCACAAAAGAGAACCTCCCCCTAAATACTGACTATCCATAGCATGACAGTGTTAAATTTATGGCTGTAACACCAGCAGTTCATTTGAGAACTGTTCTATCAATATCATCGGACTGTGCTGCATTCACCCTTATTTCTCTTAAGTCCCTTCAATAAGCTTCCGGATTCTATCAAGTCTCATTCAGGGGAACGAAGTATATCAAACACCGATTCCTCAGTGTCTCACCCGGACAGGTATACCGACCAAATATGTCACAGAAACTCTTCAAACGGGATGAATAAAACACCAAAAAACTCGTAAGGAAAACGGCCTCAAAAAGAAGGCGAAAAGCCGTTGAAAATCCTGTACTTTATTATGATTTACTCTCCATCCTGGTATCACACTGCGGGCGTTGTGCAAGTTATCCCCTCGGTTCCTAGTACCGCGTGGCGTCCATGACATTGTACAAGTTTCCGCCCACCCAGGAATTACCGGTAGATGGACGTTGTAGCCTGGTATCACGTGACAGCACTAGCTCACGTGCCAATTGGTTATTTTACAGGCCGTTGTCTGGTTGCATGAATCGGAGGTGGTACAACACGCGCTTACACTGCAACTGATTCGTCTGAAATTCCCATACTCCAAATGCTACATCATCCCATACGCCGTCCTCCGGGTTTGTTTCTTCCAATCACAACTGCACAAATTTCCGTCCCATCTACGCCAATCGAACCGATTATCGTGCTGTAAATTACCATCAGCCTGCTACAGATCTCACGGTCAGAAAAAAAACCCTCCCTCACTGTGGGACTTATTATACATTGACGCTGTTGTTTTGGCCAAGTTGGGATGGCAAGCAAAGCGAAACCTGATGAGAGTTCTGAAGGCAACAGTGATGATCCCGTGGAACATTTCAATGTGCGCGCGATCGCATTGAGAATGCAAAGTCAAATGGTTGGGAACGTGCCTAGTGGTATACTGCGACTATTTCTCGACGAGGCTTCAGTGCGCTTGTTTAACAACATTTGTAAACTTCTACGATTGTACACTGGGTCCAACAAGATCGCTGTTGCATATACAAAGCGAATTGTGAAAATGAACATCCGACTGACGGCCTTCTCGACGGCCGATGTGCTGAATGACGAGGAAGACGACATGGCCTGTGATTTCCACGATCGTTGTCACTTGGCGGCAGAAATTCTGCTCCGATTAGGCAGACCCAAGCGACGTCTGTTGCCTGGAGTGACACCTACCATAGATAAGCTGGTCGATGCCATTCAGAGTGCAAAATCTCTTGCACTAGGAATCACCGAAAGACATCTTAAGCAAACAACTCGCGACAAATTTCGCGAAGCGGTTGATTTCTTCGTGAACCCACAGTTTTTCACCACAGTTTTCAGTGAACAGGAATGTTATAAAGGATTACTGGAAGATATTTACGATTCGATTGAAGATTTAATTGATCGTGGACTATTTTGATGGGATAACAGATCAGAGGAACAAACAGATTCACACACCACATTCCATGGTGCTTTCAGGTTGGTTATCAACATCCGTGCGTCCGAAAAAAATCATGTACAATCTGGTAACATTCATATCTGCTGACAAGTTCTGTTTTTTAACTGCCCATCTGTGTATGTTGCGTACGAAATCGTTAATTCTCTATTCAGCGTCCGCCATAATAAAACTGATCAGTGTACCTCTTCAGATAATTGGTTGTGACTTGTCGCAAAAATTCACCCTTTGTCACAGAAAGATTCAATTGGCCTGATCTGCCTTTTCTTTAGAAGACCTGACGTGAGTGATGAACAGTGAAAAAACTGAGAGAGCATCTAAAATCAGGCTATTCATTCTCAGCCTCTCCCCACACTTGCTCATCAGATAGCAAAAAATCGACTCCAGGAAAACTACTGAGTAAAGCCACTGAAAACGTCCTTGATCAGGGTGTTATTGCATTGTCCTATGTGTTGTCACGCTCAATTTTTAGCTTTTGGGTTTTCTCACCTTCGTTGTAATAATATATGATGTTGTTTTCCACTGATTGTTACCACCTGCTCACCAAACCTCATTTCATTCTATCCAAGTCGGACTGCATGGACGAACAGTGGCCAGTTCGCAATAACATCTAACATTTCAGTTAAGCAAAGTGTATCCAGTACCCAGTGGATTCGAAATCAGCAGGCTCTATTGTTTGAAATATTGGAACAAGCAAGATACCAATTTGCAGATAACTACTAAAATCAGGGGAAAATTGTGACCTTGTAGTCAAAATCCGTGCTACATTACTATACGTTTCGAAGGTCACAAGAACCATAAACTTTGTCCTACTGTTTTGTTCTTCAAGTACGAACGGATGTAGATTAAGGTCCCCCTGTAAGTAAGACATGTGCGCAAAAATGATAATCTCCTGATGAGAATAAAACTGATCAGATAGAGCCAGCTCTAAGAAACCACTGGGAGACAAATCTAGAATCAACCGAATCTTTGTAGTAACCATTGCTTGCAAACTGATTAGCATTATGATCTCATTCATGAAAACTGTAAAACATCAGAGACAGCAAGAAAGCTAGCTTCGCAAATGAAGACAACCGTTCTGACTCTAGCCCTCATATATCAAGCTCACCAATCGCAAAAAAACCTATCTTTCTACCGCTTTAACCATCATCAATTCATGGAGTGTTGAGTCATCACTGCAAAGATTGCACTAAGGTTTACATAACACAAACAGTCATGGAACTGCACACCAAAATTGGTGAGCATTAGAAAAGGATAAGCAAGCCACCGGGTAAATCCGGGATTATGCTAAAAAAAACTGCGTCCATGATTCGTTACACCAGAACACGTCCTACCAGACTCAATAGTGAACACTGTGGATGGTTGGAAGTTCCAGGATTGTTCACGATACTACTTTTCAAGACGAAGTAATAAGTTCAGAACCACCGATTTGTATGGTGAACGTTCAGAGATTAGTTAGTAAACTTTCGAAACTATTCGGTCGTTATCATCAGGCTGACTTTTTCGTCAGACGGCCACGCTCTCCTGTTTAGTACCCACTTTGTCGTGATGGTGGGTGCCGCTGTTTTCCTAGGTAAGTCACTCCTAAAGCGACTCTATCGTCGGGTTACTGAATGCTACTTTAGTTATGGAACTCAAGATCTACTGCAAGATTTGCCGAATTTGATTTTAAAAATCGAGTTTTCCAAGGGCTTATTCGACCTACGCCTTTTTAGCGTGACACATCACCAATAATGCACGGGAGAAGAATCTGTCTACCGTTACGGAAGTGAGCTTAGATGATAAGCAACTTCGGGTTTATGTTCTGTCAGCAACGACCCAATATTTTGTTTTTTTTCTGAATGAAAATCCTGCTGTTACTGTCCAATATCGGGCCACAAACATGTCACTCTAGGTCCGCAGTAGAGCAAGACTTCAGTAAAAATTCTGAGACCACTGCCAAATGTTTTTTTTTGCCAAGAGAGCGTGGATTTCAAATGCACATTTTTCAGATCCATTCCAGCAATACCTTCGAACGGAATCGGATATATGTATATAAAAACCTCTAGACAGTCCCATAGCACCAGAATAGTCACTTCTGCAACAAGCNTTCAGTATTCACAACTGTGTCAGCAAGGTCAGCCAACGAAAGAGCGCCAGTCAATTGAATGGCTTAAAATAGGGGGCGGTATTCAGTAGCGTTTGAAATTATGACAGTCAAAAACGACATGGTGTACATAAAATCATAGACGGTTCGTTTACCAAATAAAGCACTCTCTAAGTCAGAGTACGTTTCACCAAACGGCCTTTTAGATTGATAAGCCATTTGCAATCACCGGCGTTTTCCCAAAACTGTCTTATAATCATAGCTATTCATAACAGCCACGCGAATAACCTGTCGCAGTTTCTAGCGCCATAAAACCCATTTTCAAGAGGTTCAGAAGCAAAGTGAAGTGTGCAGCAGACTTTCGTAGACACCATTTTGAAAAGAAACGTGTTCTACTAAGACGGTCACCAGTATTACAGATGGATAGCCATTATTATTATCGTTATCATAGTTATCATCAAATGGAATAGTAAAATTAGCATTGACATTGATCTCACTAGCTTGAGATCAAAAGTCTATCTAATTATATTTAAAGCTGTAAAGTGAAAATAGTGGATAGAGACGTCTTGTTTAGTTAGGCCGAATAGTGAGGGGATCATAAACCAACGGGAATAAAAATGCTTATATATATATATATATATACACTTGGAACTGTAATAAAAATTCAAATTATATTTAAAGCTGTAAAGTGAAAATAGTGGATAGAGACGTCTTGTTTAGTTAGGCCGAATAGTGAGGGGATCATAAACCAACGGGAATAAAAATGCTTATATATATATATATATATATACACTTGGAACTGTAATTAAAAATTCAATGAAACGATCGTTCAAAGAACGCCCGCCAAGAGGTAGACTTCAAGGCGGAACTGAGTTGCGTATCGTATAGATGCTCGTCGAGATTTTCGATCAATCTCTAAGATAACCATGTAGCTCATGCCTGAACAGTTCGCCTGTTTAGACGTGATAATTCAGGTGCGTCTAGGCTACATTGGTCGAGTAGGCTAGCCTCACCTGTCACATGTCTGGATTCAAACATCAGCACGACAAGAGATACGCACTGCTGATAAACGGTGATGAGCAGGAAACTCCAATAACACTTTTGTGAACCCAAGAGAATACATGCACCAGGACAGGAGGAGAACTGTCCAAACAAGTCTGATATGGAGGCGAACATCTGACACGTATTTTTCTGTTCCAGTCAGCTCTCTCTATGTCCTCAGAGTCCAATCGACTTCAGCGACAGATACTAGAATGGCAACTGGAAATTGGGCAAGTATATCACTATGTAAGTCTTTGCATAACTCGCCTTAAAATATTATACGAAAAAACAGTCGGCCAGCGTTACATGTTCGTTTCTTCAGGAAGTAAAAGCCTGAACATGTTGGAAACTAGTCTCTTGGTTTTGAAACCCCTGTTGTCCCACTCGAAATCCATCAGAAAGCCCAGTCCAGTGGAATTAAGTTTCAGGGGCTCTGTTGTTTTCCTGTTATACCACATTGAAGAAATTAGTTGAAGCGGCCTCGTGTTTGCATTCTCACTTTCGTAGGGTAGATGTGCGGGATCAATAAAAATTACTATATGATGCATACAACAATAATATATATAATGTAGTAGGCCCAAGTGTTTTACTATGATGCACGCAACACGTGTTTTTTTGCACAAATTTCTTCGCTGGCTGAAGCAAAACAGTATGCCACATGGATTCTTCTCAGTTTGACGAACGTTTAACTTGTTTTGCCGTTAATACGGTCATTGCGGTGGCACACCAGACGTTTTATCGATTAGAACTATTCTTAGCAGTGATTTATCAACGAGTCCGAATTTCTGTGGGTAAAAGTAGGCGGATATGTGAACAAGGCTGCAAATTTGTTGGCTATTCTTGTGTTTTTATCCCTATGAAAAGCAATTACGTTGATCGGCTAAACTAGCTTATGATGACGTCACAGGCAACAAATGAATGTTTCTCCAACAGACAATGCGCGAGCATCATCTAAATGGTCACTCCCACCACACTACTGTCTCGAAAAAGATCAGATGGAGCACATACGACGTGAACTAGGCCATAGCCTTAACTAAAAATATCAGCGAACATTTTTGGGCGATATCGATGAAACATCGGTTCGAAACCTGGACGGGTTAGGTAACTAGACAATCCTGAATAGACCATATACAGAGGAGAATCAAACACATTTTTTAACTTGATGTTGCTTCCTTTACTTTATTTGTCTGTTAGCTCAAAGACTACTCACTAAAGCACCTTCAAAACGTTTTCAGGGCTGTAATTATCGAGGCCATTCTAACACCTTTGTCACATTCGGAGTAAATGCTAAAAAAATAACGCCTGACGGCTGTTCCATTTTGTGGTCACTAGGAGGGTCCGGACGGCGAAGAGTTTAAATCAACTGACCATTTTTTTCAGCTTAGATTTGAATACTGTTCCACGTGGGATCCACTTTCTGTTCATTACAGTCTACCGCCATGAATAAAATAATTTTTATCGACCACGCCAGTTTAGTCATGCTAACCTCGGGATCAGCTTGTCTCATCAAGTACTTTTCTTAGTCATTAGAAATGTATCTATCACCGGCTTGAATGAGAGGATCAAGAATACTGTACCAACACAACAAATCAATTTGTTTCAGCGGTCCTCAATTCTGAAGAAGAGATTTATAGCCAAGAATGCACAGCATAGGTACTTTCCCGAAGTCTGTGCAGGTGTATGAAGACCGCATTTATTGAAGACTGCCACTTTAATGGTAACAATCAGTTCCGTCTGTCTGTACGGATAAAAATGTTTTAAGTGACGTTTGTGTTACTAAGTTCCGGATTGCTCAGTTAAACAGAGTTGGTCGCCATAATCGAGAATAAGTTACATGCTTGAACCCTCTTTGAATGCACCAATTTTGATGACCACTCGGCAAATCGTGATGTTTTGCTTGCTGGCAACGCTATGATAACAGACGTTGCATCCAGGATTTAGAGAAAATGGTTTTGGGCGGAAAGACCCACTTGGTAGAAAGTAGTATAGACCATACATGTACTGCCAAAATCTCTGTGAATCATAGCTATATTCCTACTGAATGGCCGCTGCTTCTCCGTCAGTGTCTCAGAGTGTTTGACTCCCACCTGGGGAGAAGAACGAAGTTGGCAATTGTGGACAGCTGATGTATTAGTATAGTCCTCAATGAGTTTTTCAACACGGCTATGGGACGAAGAGTTCAGCGCCTTCGAGTGACGTAAAGAAGCAACTTCCTGGAGACATCTCAAACGAGAGATTCAACTGAGTTCTAGGTGAGTCTCTAGGAAAACCAGATTAGTTTGCAACTGAGTGTATTTCGCTAATTTCCTGCAGTTTGGTTTCAAGTGGAACATAAAGTTGACGGAATTCGGGGACTGTGCCTACCTGATGAACCCCAAGAAGGGTGAAACCGATCGTGGGTTGTAGGCGAAATTTCGGCAACCTTATGAGTAGTTTCCTTCATGAAAATCTAACCTTTTAGCTTTTCTGTGTCCCATTCTCTGGGTTTACGCATCAAAGGCTTCTCAAGCATTCACAATCAGCATTTGAGTTTTTCCGTAAACTAAGGGTGCTTCAAACCTAAATGGGATTTCAGAAAACCCAATAAGTTAAACCCTAATATCAGCGCTACCAGAAGGCATGTTCAGAAAACGCGTAATCCCTCAGTGCATGGAAGTAAGCCGCATATTTCTCTAAAACAATCCCAGATTCAGTGGCGCCTATCCTGAACTAAATGAATCGACCCATAACTTCAGCAGCATAGGGACGAATAGAAAACCTCCCTCAAAAATAAAACATAATTACTGACTAGTAATAAAGCCGTAACTTCAATGGTTTCAAATTTGTCGGACAAAAACCTACTGATGTTTAGGGTTCGAGTAGACGAAACTACGCTCAAGAACGTCAAACTTCGCTTCCGACGAAAATTGCAAACCCAATACACATTTTAAACCTTATGGAGTCGCATTTTGTATCGGGATCAAATGTAGCATAAATCCAAAAGTGTGGTCTTGTTCGAAGTTTATAACATGAAGCGTCCTCGTCACTTGAGGTAAATAAGAACACCGGAGACAGTTATGAGGATTCGGAAAGTTAGATTCATCTTCTCTGCGGATTATTTTGTGGTGGATGGCACTGTCATGGGTCTTCGGGAAGGCAGATACAGCTTTCGTAGAAGTAAACCAGAAGGCTACCAAAGTAAGTAGTAGGTCCCGATTGAATATGCTACTTGATCGACTGAAATACAGGAAACTGAATCATTTACATTAACAGAAAGACCAGCAACACCCGGGGTGCAGTCACGTACATAAGATTATATCGACCATGCAGTTACTGAATTCGGCTTATCCAAAAAGATCTTGGTTGCGGTAGGTAAGATAATTTGCTTTGGATTTCGGTCACAGGCATTCTCTTTAATGCTGACGGAAGCAGAAAAATGATAAGGAAATATGTTTTACTTTTGGCTGGGACATACCAAAACTTCCAATGCCATTTGAACCAACGAGTCACCCTCATGTCACCCTCCTCCGTACAGTTGAATAAGTTCAGTATTATCATACAATGGAATGGACTGTATCTCCCAGAACACCAACTCCGCCAATTCTTGTGTGCCTTCTCCAAAATTTGTCAGCCTTATCCGAAGAGAGGATAGAGATTGAAATCAACTGATCCACTCCAGTGACATGGAAATTATTTTGGATTTACTAAGGGTTGTTTCCCTGAAGCCTGTCTCTGTGATAAGTAAGTGAAGTCCGTAGTGGAGGTAATCTCCGGGACCAGTGAAGAAACGATGATTTGCGGGAATCGGTTCAACTTTACATGATTCGACCACGGAGTCTGGTTTACCAGAAAATTTCGGATGACTGTGTACTGCTTATGCACATTACCAGTGTAACGGAGCTACTACTGATGGGGGGACATGCGAGTAGTATGTACTGTTCTTGGAATCTCGCTTTGCGTCTCTTGAAAGGGGAGATCTGTTGCGGAATTTGTGGAGTCGCTTTGTAACATTTGCTTGGATTTGAGCAATGAATGATTGGAGTCAATGAATATCTAGGAAAGTTCAAGACGACGCGTTCAGGAGGAGATGGATATCCAGTTTTTGTAAATAAGATGTAAATGAGAGTTTTGCTTCCCTGTCGAATAGTCTGTAACCGGTCAGTTGGCATTTCCTAATAAATAACACCGCAACGAATACCTCCTTCCTTTCACCAGTATATATATCGGGATGACACGACCGCCACCTGGCCTACGGATCAATCTGCGAACAACGATCCTTTGACAAGTGGAAACTGCGACCGAGCATGAGTTGGCATTTCCTAATAAATAACGCCGCAACGAATACCTCCTTCCTTTCACCACTGTATATATCGGGGTGACGCGACCGCCACCTGGCCTACGGTTCAATCTGCGGACAACGAACCTTTGCCAAGGGGAAACTGCGACCGAGCATCAAGATGGTGAGAACATTGTGAAGACCTGTACAGGATTCTGTAGCCCTGGTAGCATCTTGGCTGATGATATTTTTTATACCACGATTTTTCATATAATTTTGTGAAGACCAGTAGAGTTATTAGCACTCTCGAGAAACATATGGCTACAAATGGCTACAGTTCAACGTTGTTGATCTAAATGTGGTCTGACTGAAATGATCGCGGTTAGTGCTTTGATTGGTCACCTTGGTCTAGTAAGTCATCGGTCGCACTCTGGCCTAAAAAAGTTAGTGAACGAATTCAAAAGTACGATCAGCCGTGTCAACAGACGAACCTTGAAATTTAAAAACAAGCAGTTTTGGACATTCTGTCCCCAGCGCTAAGAAGAACACGCCGCCGTACGTCGGCTCAATATAAGGGGACCAGCGTAGCGGTCGAGTGAATATGTATACACTGGAGTCCGCGATGTCGATTCGGAATACGACAACAATTGGACGGCGAACGAAAACGGGACACGCGGTCATAGCTATTACGGGGAGGGTAACAATGCCTCTATTTAAGACGATTGACAAATTCGACTGCTTGTGAAAGCAGCTCAGCTGGAAGGCCATCATACGAGCTTTATCTGATTATTGTTTCCAATCTACAAAAACGCACTCATCTTCTGCAGTTAACCTATGCTAACGTCAAAAAACACACTACAGGAGTGACATTTTGTGACCAAGATGTACAGGCAAACTTTGTACTGACTACAACGAGCTACCATGTATATTCTTGCAGCTGTTCGGAGCACACACCGCGATCCATCTGGTGTACCATTTGTTGGATATGCTGACGATTTCATAGCTTGATCCTCCAATTCGCTTCCAATCCATATCACAACCACCCTGCACGGAGTTTACTTGCGTAATTTTGATGTGAGTAGTAGCTCTGGAGACGAATCCTTGAAAAAAACGACGTTCACATATCCTGATCGCACATTTTAACTGTAATATAAGATATGCTTCAATCCCCAAAAAAGATTTCAACTTTTCTCAGGCTCATTCATCGACACATGTGTGTGAGTGTGAAATCCTTGTGGTTATTCTTTTGTTCATCCCAGTTAATCGCTATACATAGTACTCGTCCAAGGGACATCGTGTTATCACGAACGCAATGTCCCAATTAATCCGCCACATCGGCCTACGCATATGACCCATGTTTTATTTCTATCCCCTGTTGGTTTGTTTGTGTGCGTTCATGGATGAAATTGTTCCCTTGCTACATTTCCCCATCTCAGATCAGTGACTTGCCATCTGTCACAGTGTCCTCAAGGCATCTCTGGTCAAACCAATCGTTCCGACTTCGTGATTGTGAAAACAAGCGACTCAGAAACCTATTGTCTTCCGTGTAATTTATTTGTTTTTACAAGAGTTTGATCAAAGCTGAATAAAAAGAAGCTTGGTTGAATGATTTGACATAAGATGGGCGTGATTGTGAACCAACCAAATTTAACCTAATATATGTGTGCACTTCAGAATCTCACATCCTTCGGGAAACAAGGACGTGCTTGGTACAGAATGAAAATAATTGCTGAACGCTAAGAATGCACATTCCACAATCTTTATTTTTTCTTATAGCCACTCAGAGTCCAGTGAGTCTTTCTCTAAACGTACTACACAGTGTAAAGAGAATAACTTCAGCCATCCATTGATAATACTCTATCGGCAAACTTTAGGTAGCTTAGAAGGTAGAATGATTCGCAGGAAGGGTGAACCACTCAATTGAGAAGCTGTCGATCGAACTCCCACGTGATTGGACTTGGTTGAAGGTTAAGTGACGATATGTCCTGCCTAAGAGCGACTTGACCACAATACTGATCAGCTGCTCGCCTGGAGGTCGCGGGTGCAAAAATATCCGAACTTCCGTGAAATGCTACTACTAATGATTACCAATGGGGGTGAAACGGCTCTGCAGTGTTTCTCGACCATTCGGGAGGGATCGGCCTCGTTTAAGGGACAGAAAGGTCAATTAAAAACACATTAACTCTAGATGCTTATTGATAAAGTGTCTGGATCTTAGAAGGCAGAACTTTTGAAATCACCAGAGATGTTTATACCTGTGTTGGGTTTTGATGTGGCTTTTTGCTTCATAAATTAAGATAAATCCGCCCTATAGTGTACGTCCCGATTTCGAATATGTATACACTGGAGTCCACGATGTCGACTCGGAATACGACACCAATTGGACGGCGAACGAAAACGGGACACGCGGTCATAGCTATTACGGTGAGGGTAACAATGCCTCTATTTAAGACGATTGACAAATTCGACTGCTTGTGAAAGCAGCTCAGCTGGAAGGCCATCATACGAGCTTTATCTGATTATTGTTTCCAATCTACAAAAACGCACTCATCTTCTGCAGTTAACCTATGCTAACGTCAAAAAACACACTACAGGAGTGACATTTTGTGACCAAGATGTACAGGCAAACTTTGTACTGACTACAACGAGCTACCATGTATATTCTTGCAGCTGTTCGCACACCACACCGCGATCCATCTGGTGTACCATTTGTTGGATATGCTGACGATTTCATAGCTTGATCCTCCAATTCGCTTCCAATCCACAACCACCCCAACTGAATCCAGCTGAATCTCTCGTCTTCTGGCAATCTTTTCCCGCGTTTCAATGATGCAGACCAGGAGAACATACATAAATCAGCACGCAATAACTCTCCTGATTGTAACTCAGCTGATGTTTTTGTTCATCCCAGTTAATCGCTATACATAGTACTCGTCCAAGGGACATCGTGTTATCACGAACGCAATGTCCCAATTAATCCGCCACATCGGCCTACGCATATGACCCATGTTTTATTTCTATCCCCTGTTGGTTTGTTTGTGTGCGTTCATGGATGAAATTGTTCCCTTGCTACATTTCCCCATCTCAGATCAGTGACTTGCCATCTGTCACAGTGTCCTCAAGGCATCTCTGGTCAAACCAATCGTTCCGACTGCGTGATTGTGAAAACAAGCGACTCAGAAACCTATTGTCTTCCGTGTAATTTATTTGTTTTTACAAGAGTTTGATCAAAGCTGAATAAAAAGAAGCTTGGTTGAATGATTTGACATAAGATGGGCGTGATTGTGAACCAACCAAATTTAACCTAATATATGTGTGCACTTCAGAATCTCACATCCTTCGGGAAACAAGGACGTGCTTGGTACAGAATGAAAATAATTGCTGAACGCTAAGAATGCACATTCCACAATCTTTATTTTTTCTTACAACCACTCAGAGTCCAGTGAGTCTTTCTCTAAACGTACTACACAGTGTAAAGAGAATAACTTCAGCCATCCATTGATAATACTCTATCGGCAAACTTTAGGTAGCTTAGAAGGTAGAATGATTCGCAGGAAGGGTGAACCACTCAATTGAGAAGCTGTCGATCGAACTCCCACGTGATTGGACTTGGTTGAAGGTTAAGTGACGATATGTCCTGCCTAAGAGCGACTTGACCACAATACTGATCAGCTGCTCGCCTGGAGGTCACGGGTGCAAAAATCTCCGAACTTCCGTGAAATGCTACTACTAATGATTACCAATGGGGGTGAAACGGCTCTGCAGTGTTTCTCGACCATTCGGGAGGGATCGGCCTCGTTTAAGGGACAGAAAGGTCAATTAAAAACACATTAACTCTAGATGCTTATTGATAAAGTGTCTGGATCTTAGAAGGCAGAACTTTTGAAATCACCAGAGATGTTTATACCTGTGTTGGGTTTTGATGTGGCTTTTTGCTTCATAAACTAAGATAAATCCGCCCTATAGTGTACGTCCCGATTTCTGAATATCACAGCATTTAAAACCACACAAATGCAACCAGGACCCAACCGATCCAACAGGTAAATAATGCCTGCTGAGATAGAGGGCAATTTCTGTAAGTTTGCATTTTATTTATTGCAACCCCATTGCCTTATTTAGCCATTATACGCCTGGTTCAAATGGCTCTGCATTCCGCTCAAGAGAGCCACAGTTTCTAAATAGAGTCACATAGGGATAGATATCACCCTTGTGTATGTTCAGTGAAGTTGGCAGCAGCGAAAAATTTGTCTACTGCTATGACTTTCATAAAAATGCCTTCTGATCCGACCTCTCTACTGTGCTCCGTAGAAAACGCATCAAATCTTTCTTATTTTGAAACATCCAGATCTTTTCAGCACAGTATCACATCAGGTATTAGGCACTCGAGTACAAGACCTTCAAAAAGTGGAGTGAAGAAAAGAGAAGCTGTGAAGACTGTTAGTGACTTTTCGGTGATGTTTCACACCAGCAATTCCGAGTTTATCTTGCATCATGCACCTTTTCAGCACGTCGCTTACAGCTTTGTTGACTGAAGCAAAGTGTGAGTAGTGACCAAACAGGTCTATCAAACACTCTCATCTGCATGTGAATTCGGTTTTGACGAAGGACTCAACTGAATCCAATTGGATTTCTCGTCTTCTGTCTATCTTTTTCGGCGCTTGAATGATGCAGACCAGGAGAACATACGTAAATCAGCACGCAATTCTTCTGATTGTAACTCAGCTGGTAGGAGGCACAACTGGCATGAAAGAAAGCAAAACGGTGCAGTGCATATCAACTTTGGCGTACAAGTAGCTTTTTTTCGCATCCATTCACAGCTCATAGTAAAACTAACTAACAAGGGTTCATCGTTAGATGTCTTGACGCAATTTCACAAGGCCAATATTTTTCTACTTAAAAAAAATACGTTTTCAAAGAAGTCGGATGGGCTGAAGTGAAATTAAGAAAGTTCCGCCCAGAAGTTATGGCTTCTGATACGGTCTCAAATCTTTCACTGATGATGTTGAAGCCAGCTTACGTTCCTCTAGGCCGTTTGCCGCATGCAACCTCCTGTTGCTGTATTCTAAACCTCCAAGCTGACTACAGCATAACGGCAGAATCCTCTCTCCTGTCTGTAACCCGATAGTATCAACCTGCCATGCAACACAGGCCACCGGACAAGAGAGTCAGCAAAGCATTCATAAAAAAACATTCGTACAAAAAGTGCGGGAATTGTTGAATCTTGTATAGGATATGTGGACGTACGCACAGCTCATCTACGGAGCAAGCAACGGTGAAATGATCAGATACAGTGACTGTACGTAGTAGCGGTCATTGGGTAAGAAAGCTGAAAAAGGGCCACAAACAAGCTACACACAATCTGGCAAGTCATGTACTTTTAAATCGATATAGGCCAGACCTAAAAACGTTTTTTTTTCTTTTTAAATGCGTCGTTCAATCGTTCATCAGATTTCCAACACGCATCGACTGACTCATCTTCATCGTATCATTCAATCCGGGGTAGAGAAATAATGACCAAAAGGCGTTTCCCTAGTTCTCTTGACTTGGTAAACATGTTTGAGTCCCGTGCAACCATACGTTCGTACGAGTGAAGTAAGGAATATTGCTATACACAACCAAACAAATCGTAGTGCAATTTTCTAGTTTTTATACGGTTTTGTCTGCGTAGAAGTTCATTCATT